CGTCCTAACATTACTTATATGAAAATAACTTGTAAAGTATTTTATAAAAAAGAGAGAGTACACAAACAGCAAAAGATTTTTTATTGCCCTCGATGTTTTAATAGTACTTAAAGGACAAATTTCAGACATTTTTAGAATGTATTCTTATTGAAATGATTGGTGTTATTTGATGGAAACAGAAGCAAATAGTTTCAATTTTTGCTCTTCAGATGTTTCGTTCTCATTAAATTTGTCCATTAAGTTTTTTTTTTGGTTTTCGAAAGCCGGTATTCAGAGTCATTATTTATATTTAAGATCGCCTTAAGCATTTGCTTAAGTCCTTGTACAAGAAAAGGACTCGAAATATGGGATAGACAGGGATAGCAAATGCTTAAGACGATCTTAAGAATAAACAACGACTGTGAATACCGTACGACAAGTCTTGGAAGTACGTGGTGTCGGTGTATACTTAAAAGGCAAGATCTTATTTGCAGCAAAAACAAATGAGAAGAACTGTGAAGTACGGTAAACTCGTGATGATTCACGAAGAAAATGCACCATTACCACCAGCACTACCGTTACAGACCGTATCTTGCGAGCAGTTATAGGAAAAGCCGAGTGACGACCAACTTGTAATTAAACACTATTATCAATTTCGAAGCGTTCGTTTGCGATGTCGTACTTCGGATTTGATTCTGACGTTTCAGTTACGAGATTGGCCGCTACTCCAATATCATTTAGATTATGATACTTCATCAACGTCTTGAGGCAGGTAAAATCTTTTGTACATATATGATATTAACTTTTCGACCAATCTTTCTGACGCTTTCAATTACTGTAAAAAAGGTGTTTGATTATTTTCCTGCGGCATAATATTACGGTGTACATATTAACTAGTATTACTAACTTAATTACTATGCTTTTGTATTTAGTCACCAAAGCTTACTGATGAGATATTATTATTATTATCGACAAATAAATAAGTAACAATTTTGGTAATCGATTTTTGATAGATTTTAACTGCCTCAAACGCGTTCTCTTATATTCAAGCATATAAGTCAATCGATAAGTTAAGGAATCGAAATCGCATAGTTTAAACTTAAAAAGTTGATCATTCAATAAGATTTCAGTTCCTTTTTTCTTCGAATGAAACTCGTTATCATTATCAATCATCGATCATCATTACTTTTACACATTCAAATGTATCACTACAAGGTTCCTGTTATCGGGCAGATACTAACGTCCACGCGATTTCTCTAGTTGAATTAGACTCTAGCGTTTGTTTTCCTTTTTGTTCATTCGCAAGAGCAAATTATGTTTCGAAAATAGAAAATCCGTTGGAGAGTCTATTGCCCGCACAACGTTTTACATCTATAGATTTAACACGATTGAAATTATACAATAGGAGGAGAAAGAAGACATGGGGAGTTGATATATGTATGTATGTAATTTTACTATAAGTAGGAAGAGAGTTAAGAAATTGGGTGAATGCATCAATTCTTTGACGTGTATACATAGTCCTTAGATAATCAATAATTTTCATTGTCACAGTCCTCTTTATGAGTTATACAATTATATTAAATAGATTTAAATTATTAAATAATCTTCTTTGGTGAAATTTTTTTTAACACCTTGCGTCGATTAGTTTTATTCATTTTACTTTTTTATAATTTCCAAGTACATTAAATTAATACTCAGAATATACTCACATAGATTATAGATTACATATAATCATTTTTCATTGTATATATTTTCTTGCATTTATTTTATTATTGCGTTATTCTTGTTACATAACTATAAATAGAAAAATTCTTCTTTCAAAGTGAAGCTATACAATGAGATCATTCACCTGCTTTGAATATCGTAGATTCTACACTGTAGAATGTTCTACCTCAATCGAGCAGATATTCCGTTCGAAAAATCGGAGTATAATTTGATGCTAGAAGGATGACTGAAGTAGACACGTGTGACGAATACATGTCGAAACTCCGTAAAAACAAATTTATATTTGCAAAAAATGTAGAAACCTTTTTCTCTTGCAATACCTTAATCTTTCCAGATCTGTTGAGTGGAATCGCATTAATAACTTTTATATTTAAGATCACATCAATAACATTTAATAATATTTAATATTGTACAACAACGCAGATTTCAATTACTACGAAAAGTAATTTTACCATCGATTTCACTACACGGAACTAAGAAGATTAATTTTATACGTTTTCCAAAGATATAAAAATTATACATATGTATATAGTTCCATACATATACGTATAACGTTTGTAGGATCGAAAATTATTTTATATACATTTTTTGTATACATGATAATAGAATTGATATTCTTATTGTACTGTATAATTTAAAAGTACAATGAGTATTTTGTATACTAGTGACGTGCAACCTTTAGGATTAAAACGATATGGCCAGTTCGTTAAATGGTCATGACAATGATTTTATGAGGCCCTTCCTCTATCCTACAGATTGTAAATCTAGTCCAGATTGTATAAAGTAATTGCAAATAATTTCATATAAAAACAGATTATGCTGACTCGAATAAGAAATAATATTGTTTTTACAATGAGATTGTGCAGTACACGTATTCTTGGATCTTTCAGACGATCACGTTATAAGTTAGCACAAAGTTTCGATTTCCTTAGATATACATGTATACATGTATAAGTG